TAGATAGTACGGTACGGAAGTTTAGTTCGTACTCTCTCTCTCTCTCTCTCTAACGACTTCCTGAAAAAACGAAAACTAGTAAGGACGACTTACGGTTGGTAGTGTAGCCGTTAACGTACTACTCTCTCTCTCTCTCTCTCTCTCTCTTGAGTTTAGAACTGGTTTACTTACTATGATGTTGGATTTATATTTTTTCTGAGAAAAATTAAATTTCATCTCACAGCTTTAGCTAATTCCAAGTTCCAACAGTAGTTTAAGCCCTTAAGGCACTACCATACCCTTTTTTTTCATTTTCTATTCAATTATTTGCTGTCCATTACCCCTTAAGTCTGATTTTCATCGGTTTCTATGCCTTTTTCTATACATTCGAGTGCATTTTTCTTATATGGTTGATCAATTCATCCAATTTATCAATACCACTAATAATTTGTGCATCCGGAGTTAACAGATTTGTAATGCTTAATTTGCTGACTGCTCTTAGTTTTAGAAGCTCCTTTTAGTCCGACTATATTTTACTTCATCTATTTTTATCAATAAGGTTGCCGGTGGGCTATGTTACCTAGACACGACAACTGTGTCCGAATCCGATTCATGTCTGTATAAATTTCAGATATGAGGAGACATGTCGGGGAAATTACTGTTTTAATACTATGATAGATTTTTAGGAAATTTTTGCTAATATACTCATATTTTCAAGAAATTAGAAAAAAAATCCCAACTTCTCAAAACCTCACCCACACTTTTTTGCCCTATTTTCATAAAATTTTGGACAAAAATGCCTTTTACAGTAGTAGTTGTACCGTAAAAACAATTACGGTCCTTTTATGACCGTAATGTTCTTTAAGAACATCATGGTACTAAGAGTACGATAATGCTCATTACGGTACTCTTAGTACCGTAATGTTTTTTTAGACCATTACGGTATTAAAAGTATCGTAATGGTTTGTTTTTTTAATTATTGATTCATCCTAATCTTGAACTATTACGGTACTCTTAGTACTGTAATATTATTTAAAACCATTACGGTACTAAAAGTACCGTAATGTTTTTTTTTTATCTTGGAGCATTACAGTACTCTTAGTACCGTAATGTTATTTAAAACCATTGCGATACTAAAAGTACCATAATGTTTTTTTTTTTTTTTCTTAATTATATCGATTGGCCAATCTTGGAGCATTACGGTATTCTTAGTACTGTAATATTATTTAAAACCATTACGGTACTAAAAGTACCGTAATGGTTTTTTTTTTCTTAATTATATCGATTGATTAATTTTGGTGCATTACGGTACTCTTAGTACCGTAATGTTATTCAAAACCATTACGGTACTTACCGTAATGGTTTTTTTTTTTTCTTAATTATATTGATTGACCAATCTAGATAACGGTATTAAAAATACCATAAATGTTTTTACGGTACAATGAATATCGTAAAAGGTATTTTTGTTCGAAATTTCACAAAAATAAAGCAAAAGGGTGTGGGTGACGTTTTGGGAAGTTGGGGTTTTTTTTTAATTTCTTAAAAATATGGGTATATTAGTGATAATTTTCCTAGATTTTTTACTCGATCCATAACTCCCCACTATAATGGTATTATCTTGTTTGGATATAAATACAGATTCTTTGTATCTTGTGAAAATCTTATATACGATTGTTAAAAGACAGTGATATGACCTTTTTTGCAAAGTCTATGTTACTCTGGTTTCAATCACAGAGAAACTACATATTCTATTTATGTATTTATGCATCTGGATGTCAAATTAAACATAAATGGAACTTAAGATGATTGTCCAAAATTTCTCAATCTCTGTTTTGTTATAACTTGAGGGGAACTTTTTTCTGTTTTTTTGACATGTTGAGTGGTATATGTAGTAGATAGAAATGAAACATCATATTGTGGCTGTGCTACACTGACCACCCAGCCCTCGCTCGGGCCCATTCTTACTTAAAACAGATTTACTTGGCCTAGTTGTTTCAACTTTAGTATTGAAGCTGTAGGAGTATCAATTTTGTATGAAAGAGACATATTTACCTATCTTGAGTGCAAACACCTATAAATCCACGCAACAAGTGGAGATGTTATTTTTTTTATTTTTGAAGAATTTGCTTGTGAAGTGATTTTTCTTAGAGTGAGATGATTATTACATTAAAAAACTGTTGAGGTCAACTTGAAATTGATTTAAATCACGCATAAAACTTCATACCAGGGGAATCATTTTGCTTTTCATGATAATTTATTAAATTTAGTTGTTTTTGCATATTATTTTTTGTTTGCTGTTGCAGTCTTGGGATCTGAATCTGCGACTAGGTGAAAGACTTAGAACTCCAAACTACCACGACACAATCAGATTCATCCAATGGGCATTACTGTTTGTTCTATATAGGAGAAGTTGGTACTTGTACTCAACTGGTTTTCTTTGAACTTTTTACTTTCATGTATAAATCCTATAAAATAATGCATATGGAGACCACTGGCATGTTCATATGCTCTTCTATGATGTCCTTTTTCCTAGTTTTTTAATTTTACAATCTAAAGTTGCAAAAAATGAGACAGGAGGTTGTTCAGTTAAGAACCACAAATCTTCACAGCCCTCAAGAAATCTTAAAAGTTTCAAACTAAGGGAAAATTTTAAATTAATGTGGTTTGATAAAGATCATCGGCTATAGAGGTAAGTTAGCTGTATACAATGTTAGAGGAATGTGGGGTAGGATATACATGTCTCAGCGATTTCCTTTATAAGAAAACTGTTCAGTGAAGCTAAAGGCTTGATCTCACTTGGTCTATGGAACCAATGCTAAATATTGAAAACGGGGAATTGTAAATATATAAAGCCACAAAATCTGATATATCCAAAATCACCAGAGTAGAGTTTAGGAATCTGAACGTGGTAGGTACACTGCTGGTAAGTAAATTTCTCTAGCTTGTCTCAAGTATGATACGATAAGAATGAACATGATGATCATAAAGGAAAGGAATCGCGGAATTGGGACAAAACCCAAAGATATACACCTGCTTTGTTTGCTTGTAGGATATGTCTACGGTGAGTATTGTGTGATTAAGAAAACAAATGTCTTGGTTGCGAAGGGATTGTATACAATGAGACCATTTACCATTAGAGCAAGGAGGTTAGAATTACTTATGACCATCCGATTTGAAATGTGATAGCTTGGGTGTCGCAAAGTTCGATTATTATTATTATTTTATTTTTTTTAATTTTGAGCTTAGTTAGTGCAATTATTGCAGCCATCCAATTTCACATTAAGATTACTTGTGACCACTTTATACAAAAGGTAAACGGTCTCATTATATACTTTTTTTTTTGGATGTAAAACCCTCACAGTTATGCTTTAAAATTGGGCATGTTTTAACGCTTGGATCTTCAATATTCATCAGTATATCGAGACATTTGCAACGTATTGAAACACAACCTCTGGGAAACTCCTATCCGTATATGAAACCGTTGGCAAAATAAAAAGGAATTCAAGCTAATGATATCGGAAAAAAACAATCCTCTGAAGTATTTGGTTTGATACAACATTCGTTATCATCAAGAAAATGGAACAAAAAAGAAGGAGATGGTGATTTGGCAAGGAAATGTACCTTAATCCTACTTCTAGTCCTTGAGTTTTGTTGAAGCCAGCTGTCACTGTCTCCCACATTTTGTGTGTTAGTAGCTACCAAGTAGAAGCGTATAGAAACGTCCCTCAGCCAGAGAACTTGCTCTTTGGCCGGCTGAGGTGAGTTACTATGTGAGTCCAGCACATGGCCAAATGGCTTTAAAAATATATTAAAAAAGTAAGAAAATTTTGAGAAAAAAAATGAAAATATTAAAAATAAATTCTAACCATTAAAACGTTAAAGCAAGGTTAAAAAAGTGGAAAAAATATAAAAAATTGATTATGGCAAAAAACACTCACCATTGTATTGGGACTTTGTTGAGTTCACTCAAATTCGGCTGACCTACTCGGCCTCATCCTTTGGGTGGGGTGAGTTTCGCCCGAGTGTGTTGTATGCATGTATAGTTTATATGTTAATATGCCAAAAGTGATCAAATGGTACATCGGGTAGCATCAATACTTTCTTTTCATCGTGGCAGGAGTTTGAGCCCCCCACAAACACTTCCCATATCTTGTAAAACCCAACTCTTTTATGGTGTCAAAAAAATAAAATAAAAAGGTTAAAAAATGTGCCATTGTCGGAATTGAACTTGTTGCCCACCAGTAAGGGGCACAGGCGGCAAGCATAACCAAAACGCCATCTTATATTTGTTGTAGAGAACATGGAATTTATATGTTATATATTTTACTTTTTTTTCTTTGTTTTTATTTTGGGATGGACACCGGCAAGTTATTCCGACTCGCTTGAGTAACTCACCTCGGCCAAGGTTTGAATACCTTGGCTGAGCCCTGGTCGAGTCGTTTTTCTGTATGTTGACACTGACAGTTGCCAAACACATATAAATCATGTAAGAAAATTGTATAACTGTCATTTTTTTTCAGTTTTTCTTTTCAGTTGGTTTGAATGGTTCTCAGCCGAGTAGTGGACTCAGCCAAGTCCTGGTACAATTCTAAGAAGTATCAATTTTTAGAAAATTGGTACTGCTTTTCTAGAGGTAGGTGGTAAGTTTTGAGGTTGATCATCAAGTAAGCAAGCACCCCATATTATATGCAGCTCGTATGTGATATTTCCTTGATGCCAATGCTTGCCTTTCTTTGAGCTAGGGCCTATTGGAATTGCAGGGAAATCTAGTTAAGTTGTTGCTTTGAGAGTATCTTTTGCTGGTAGCTTCAGTAGATATACTGGCCCAATAATAGGGTTGCGTACAATTTTGCTGGACAGATTTTAGTTACCATAAAGGATTAAGAATGTGGAAAGATTTAAATTCGAATATGACGGTTTAAGGTTTCTAATATGAAAAGTTTGTTACCAGTAATCTGAAAGATAGGTATCACTTTTTCCCTTTTTGGAGCGGCATTTTGAATGAATGAGTCATTATTACTGATTTCACACATTTTAATTCATTTGAATTCAAAAGTTGAGGTATCTGATAGCTGTCAAAGTCTTGTCCTTTGGAGTTGTGATAAGAGCTTAACTGTAAATTCCCAACACTTAGTCTGTCTCAGTGTTTCAAAAAATGGAAAGATAGGATGGATTGCACATCCACCAACTAATGGAGACAAGGAAGGCATCTGATGGTTTCTGCCTAGTGAAGCAATCGATCCCCGTGGTTAAGTAATTCTCCCTGTGTTTAAATGATTTTCAGTCACTCACTTACATGCATAGATTATTTTGGTGTTATGCTGCTGCTGCAACAGATGGCTTTAGAACAGGGGTTACAAAATGAAGAGAAATCTAGTTTAGGATCGAGAAAAAATGTGGCATCACTTAAAATTTGGGCCATATTCTTTCTCTTTTTATTCATATTTTGCCTTTGGTTTGAAAGTATAACATTGAACGGTCCAAAACCTCGTAAATTTGATTATTTGGGAGGTTTAAGAGTCCAAATTTTGAACCGCCTAATGCACAAAAAAACCGACATCTTTGAGCAGTTTGAAAATTGAAAATTGGAACTACCCAATACTTTGGTTTGGAAATTAGGGTTTCAAACTACCCAAACAAGTGTACTTGCAAGCCTCCTAAACAAATGTTTTTGGTGGCTCAAAATGAGACTTTTGAATTGCCCAAATACAAATTTTTTTGTTTGTGTTTTATGCACTTTGAGATCGAGAGTTACACTGTCGAATTGGGGTTAAACAAAAAGGAAAGGTTTATATGCTTCCTCTACAGTATAGAAGTTCTATTTTCCCTCTACTATCCAGCTGTCCAATTTTGATCAAGATAGTCATTCACTATTTGATTTTAGAATCGATCTCTAAGTATTTTATTTTTAGTTTTTTTATACAAATTGTATGAATATGAAATTTGGCACCTACCATATTCTCATTGGGGCGCACCTATAAAAAATATTAAAAATAATTTTTTGATAAAATATAATGACCAAAATACCCCTTAAAATTTTCAAAGGTATTTTGATCATTTTATTTTATTGAAAATGTTTTTATATTTTTTGCTAGTGCAAGTTTAATAAAGGAATAGTCGTCCAAAATTTGGTGTCAAAATAGTTTATAGAAAGAAAATTAAAAATAAATTAGTATAGAGACTTGACATTATGATTGGGGTAATCTTAGCCCTCCATTCAGAATGGACGGTTGGATAAAGGAGAGGATAGAACTTCTATGCTATAGGGGAAGTATAGAAAACTTGCCCTAAACAAAAAACGAAAAAAGTTAGACCTCAACTTAATATTCAAAATTTGGAAAATGAGGTATTGTATCATCTTTTCATAGTCCATACATAAATTTTTCTAAAATGAACTGTCATTTTTTTTGAGAAAATATCTCCGTACCTTCAGTTTTAAGTTTCATTTCTCAATAAATTTAAGGTTTTTAAATATATCTTGGAGTATTGAGATCCAATGTATTATTTCTTTTGACCCCCTGGACCAATTTTATCCACTTTGACTCTATTTTTTGGCCAAAATTAATCTTAAAAAGACATGCCCTTGTGTTTAACCAATCCCCTCTCTGTTCACATGATTCTCCTAAAATTTATTTCTCTCTCTCTCCTCACTCCAATGAATACCGTTACTTTCTCTCTCTAAAATTTGCTATTATAGTACCTAACAACTCCCTTTAGAGCTGGAACTGCTCCACCGACTACTGCTCATGGAGCGGTGTAGCATGCGACACACATCGAACCATGTTGTCTCTTAAGACCTCTCATTGGTTTGGGTCCACCTTAGCTTTGCTATGGTGGAATGCTTACCACTTTGATAACCTTAAACAATAGGGGAGAGAGGTTTGGGGGGAAATACAGAGCGAGAGAGAGAGAAGATTTTGGAGAATCATGTGAAGAGGGAGAGGATTATTTTAAAAGATCTGTTTTTTTAAGGTTTGTTTGGACTAAAAAACTAGAGTAAAGTGGATAAAGTTGGTTGTACGGAATTAGAAGATATATAAGATATTTATATTTTAATATATGTTTTAAAACTTTGGATCTATTGAATAATTAATGTTAAAAATAGGGGGTGCAAAGATATATATATTTTTTTTAAATTATTTTTTCTCAAAAAAAAAGTGTACAATAAGAGTGCTTTACATTTGGTACACTTATAATCAGCGTTAGATATTTGATGCGCAATTAGGCAGTTGACAGTGTATCGTTGACTGGGCCAGGCGTGTAGAACAAATTTTCTAGTGAAAATTACAGTATTTTTACACGTTACAGTTATGGATGATTGTGATATTTGTTTGCGTAAGGAATGGCGTCATTGCATACAAGCATAGATGCTTGGCAGTTATTGCCCAAAATTTGGTCTATTTTTTCAGTACATCAGTCCAAACAATTTTTTTCTTAAAAAAAAGGTCATACGTTTTTTATCTGATAGGAAAACAAAAAACACACGCACCCAAATAGTGCATACTCACTTACAATCTTTTTTACTCCTTAACATCTTTCTAACATCTCTCTCTCAAGTGAAACATTTGATGCATTGTTCAAATGCAAGCAAAGAAATGACACAAGAAACAAATATTTAGGGACACTAAAGTTGAAAGCATCGAGTACATCATCTCTCTAAAGTCATAAACTCCAAGAATTTTAACCCCCACAGCGCTCGATACCTTTGGTGTTCAGTGAAGCGGACTGTGAGTTTCAGTATGTTCTCCCTAACGTCGACAATTTTAATGGCGATAATCGGTAATTACTCTGAAACTTCCATACATTCACCCACCCTATTCTAGAGTTTCAAGGAATTCCAAATATTCGTCTCCTATGAATCCATTTCCTCCTACTCTCTTGTTGGTAAAATCTCTTCCCACTGTTTGTTCCAGGTGAGATTTTTGGAAGTGAGAGGGGAACTAGGGTTATTGGCTGTTCCCCTCTCTTTGGCAACAGAGATTTTTTTCGTTAAAAAAAGAGAATATCAAGGGTAAAAACAAAATGATTCGCCAATAAGCATCCAACTTTCAAAATAGCTTCTAATTTGAACATGTACTGTAAAAATCTACGAGTCTAATGCTTTTATCGTTTGTTTCTTTAAGGTTACTGGCTCCAACTGTCTATGTTCCTCTCCTCTGCAGTACCCAGGTGTTTACACATCTCTGTCAATATATATATATATATAGAAAGAGAGTATTATCTGTTCTGAACTGATCCAACTATCCTGCCCTCTTTCTCTCTCTCACTCAGGTGGGTGCAGGACATCGGCAATGTGTTCCATAACACTGCAGTTGCCAACGCCATAATAACCATCTCAGCAGTCTCTGGCCTCACCTTTGCCATGGATTTTAACACTGATCTGACCTATGCAGCCGCTGCCCTCACCATCATTTACGCACTCTGTTTCACTATCTCAATTAACATCATTCCAATTTCAATCTTTTTCAATCGCTCCCTCGGACACTTGCTTGTTATCATGGTGGGAATCAATCTCAATCTTCTCCTTTTGGCTTTCATACTCCATATGATTATTTTGCTTCCCCATGTAAAGGATATATGCTCAGAGGATGCTGAGCACTTGTTGAGAGAGAGGCATGTCTTATTATTGGGCCCGTGTTTCTACTTAAGCCATCTTTTAAATGGATGTTAGGAGAATCTCTCGACATCTATCTTTCAAATTACTAGTAACAAACTTTTCATATAAGGAAACTTAAACCATCATATTCAAATTTAAATCATTCCACATTCTTAACCCTCTATGGTAACTAAAATCTGTAAAATAAAACTGTACACAACCCTATTATTGGGCTAGTGTTTCTACTTATGCTACCAGCAAAAGATACTCTTCAAGCAATTACTTAACTAGGTTTCAGGGCAATTCCAATAGGCCCTAGCTCAAAGAAAGGCAAGCATTGGCACCAAGGAAATATCACATATAAGCTGCATAAAAATGGGGTGCTTACCTACTTCATGATCAACCTCGAAATTTGCCACCTTCCTCTAGAAAAGCAGTTACCAATTTTCTAAAAGTTGATACTTCTTAGAAGTGTACCAGGTCTTGGCTGAGTCCACTACTCGGCTGGGTACCCCGAGTAGTGTAACAAATAGGGGGTATTTAAAAAGAACTCAAAACAATGAAAAGAAAAACTCAATAAGTGAAGTTATAGAATTTTTCTCACATGATTTATACGTATTTGGCAACTATCGGTGAGTGTCAACATGCAGAAAAACGACTCGGCCAAGGTACTCAAACATTGGCAGAAGTGAGTTACTCAAACGAGTCTGAGTAACTAGCCGGAGTCCATCCCAATGTAAAAAAATTAAACTAAAAAAAAATAAAATAAATTAACATGAAAACTCCTCGTTCTCTACAACAAGTATAAGATGGCATTTTGGTTATGCTCACCGCTCTTGTATGGCCCTCTCTGGTGGAGAAGGAGTTCAATCCGACGATGGCACATTTTTTATCTTTTTTTTTTTTGACTCCTTAATAAGGCCGGGTTTTTAAAAAACATGGGCAGAGTTTGTGGGGGGGGGGGGCTTGAACACCTGCCACGATGAAAAAAAAGTAGCGATGCTATCGGATGTGCCATGTGATCACTTTTGGCTCACTACATATTAATATAAAAGCTATAAATGCACAGTATAGGAATGCGCTAAGGACGTGAGTTCTCTCTCTCTATCTCAACTTATGACATGATGACAACTATGAAGTCTGTCGTTATGTCATCCGTCATTATGTCATCCATGACATCAAAGAAATATGGGTATTATACGTTTGCCCAAAATTTATTCTCCCAATCCAACACCTATATAGGGGATACTTTCGCTCTCCTCTTTTTTTTTTTTTCCTTTTTTTTTCAGGGGTAATTCAATAGGATGGAGTTCTTTGTTCATAATAAAACAAAAACTCAAGCCGTGTTGTGGCAACCCACCTCCCTACATAGCCTTGAGCCTATTCCTACTCTTCCTATCCCATTGATTCTATTAACAAATTACTGAGTCATAAAATTATCTGATTATTAACAATAAAAAAGAGCATTGTAATTTGTATCAATTATTAACAAATTACTTAGTAAGAGATTTCATTAACTATGAAGAATACCTGATATTTTAATAAGAGAAATTACAATTGTTAACTACGTTGAAATCTGATCCATAACAGATAAATTACAATCGTTAACAGACAAAACGCAGAAAGTACAATTGTTTATAAGTTACATAGGGTTGAAAATTTGTAGGGTACAGGCATTTAAAAGAAATTATTACAGGGTAAAATCACAGAGAATATCCAATTACAACCAGGAATTTCTAAGTTTCATAGGGCTGAAAATTTGTAGGGTTATGGCAACTTACAGAGAAATAACACTGCCATCATTGAGTAAATCTATAATTTCGCTGTAGTGACAGAAAACTCATAGTAGTTTATCTCGTTATTAACAAATTGGTCGCTAATAGTTCCGCTGATATTGAAAAAAATACATCTAAATTACACATAAGCTAATAAATCATTGTAATTTCTCTATGTAAGCCAATAAATCGTTGTAATTTCTGTTATGTATTGACAAAACCTACGGGGGTTGAAATCATACAACCATCATTAAACTTAACAGTGAGAAGCATCGTACTTGAATGTTTCATTTCCAATAAATCAATGCTTCGAATCATACGCATCTGATATAACTTGTGGACAGGGCCCAGCCCTAAAAGCTAAGCTACAAAGTGTGGCCCTAGAGGCCGGGCCAAGACTGAGCCACCATGGCCTGAGAGTCAAACAAGGCCACCCCTGGCCCTATCCAACCCATGTTTTTCTTTTAGACCCGGCTCAGCCCAACCCCGCATGGTCTGGCCCTGGGTCATGACCGTGGCCCTAACCAGAGGATGCAGCACAGCACGTACAGTATAGTAGGCATTACTCAAACCATTTTGAAATTAGAAAAACCACAAAAGCCCTAATTTCTAAAAGATAAAATAATGTCTCAACTTTGATGTTCATAACTACTGATTGAAATTAACTGTTCTAGTTTCTAACATTCAAAAACGCCTCTATCAGCTTAATGCGTGTGCATCTACATCAGCTTATTTTGTAGGGTTCAATCTCACCAGAGCTCAAGCCCAACAAAATCACCTATAAAACAGCGGAGTTACTCAATAGAAAGTACAAAACCTAGTGGCACAAGAAATGTCAACAATTTCAAGAATCAAGCAGTCGGGAGGATTTTGCGCCGGCGCTTGACTGTCTCCCTTTTGACATACATCTTCTCCATTTCGTTGAGGGGGCGGCTCGACCCATCAGGCAGGCTCACAAACTTCCATCCACCTCCACCTCCCCGCTTTCCACGTGGCCCCAGCTTCTCCACAGTGAAATTCCACCCTTGTGAAGGACGACGCCTGCTATACTTGTGGACTTTTACCTCTCCAGCTACCTGCAATAATATAAGAGCAACAGCATAAACCCAGAATCCTTTTACATCTACACTTTCAGCAAACAACCTTCGCTATGAATATGAAGCAACAGAGAATACATGGAAGACATCCCTTGCCTGTATCATTATATTCATATTCTAATTTAAAAATAACATGATCAAGATTCATAAGAAAAGAAGACATAACTAATATGTCAGTATATCATTCTCATGACGGATTGTCCAACAAATAGCAGCAGTCCCCTGTCATGAAAATCACCCTGGGGAGTAAGTGAAAGCTATCAATAATTTAATTCGAAATCTAAGCTTCTCACTTTTATAGAGTAAGCACCTGGAAAAGAGTTTATATATCTCGTCCATGCATATAATAACAGAATCCGCTTTCAAGAAATAATGCCTTCAATGGGAACATAGTGAATAACATGTGCTCATTAAATATGTGATAATGCAAACGAATATTTAAATTGAGGATTATAAATAATGGAAATGATCATGTAGGAGGTCCGCTGTATTGAGTTTCAAAGGAGATGCCTGTAGTGACTTGGAGGTTATTTACTTTATAAACACCACCCACTACAAGTAAGCACCATCCTATCCCACATAAATCTTCTAATCCAATGGTTGGGGATAGAACTCTCATGAATCTAAATATAGGACCTCCTAGAAGATTATTTCCCTATTAATAAAAAATTATTAGTAGGCTTCATTTCATTGAATCGTTGGTTGACGATGTAAAGATCCCAAGAAAACAAAATTATTCATTTTCTCTTTTTTTTAAAGTTCAAAAATATTTCCTTTGTTAAGATAATAATTAAAAGGCTTCAATGATTTAGTCAAACACAAGAAAAGTGAAATCAAGCATACTTCTTAGTATTAAATCAAGGTATAGAATGGATAGATCTCAAGCATAGAAAACCTAGTAAAGTTGGAAGAATTTCAGACTTACTTTCTTCTTATTGAAGTTAAATCTCTGAAGGAATTCTTGATAGAGCATTTCATCTTCCTTTTGAGAGATCTCATACAACACTTCATCAGGATCCTTGGCGGTGCCATCCCAACCCTCAGGCATGACCTTGAAATCTGGCTTGTATGGAAGTGATGCCACGTGAAATTCTTTGTCATGTGAGTTGAAGAATCTACAAGGGGCAAAAAGAAATGCTCACTCACATAATCAAACAACTTAAAGGCAAACCTTATGTGCATGGGCATGTGAGAGCACTAAAATAAATGGCAGAGAAGAGTAACAGAGAATGTCATTTTGAGAACTGTTGATAAATGCCAGAGATAAGAAAGAGACAGTTTTAGACATTTTTATTTTCTGAAAAAACATGTCTAGGACTTCGACTGTATAACATATTTTGAAACTGTAAACTAGAAATTTAGCTTGATGTGCATTGTTGCTGAATAATACCCATTGTTCCTTAAAAATTCAGTTATATCAAACATGTATATTTACAATGCAACAACGACACATGTCACATGAATCGAAGCGAACTGATGTGTGTCGACATGCAAAACTCATATACACAGGAAATCTGTGTTAACATTTTCATACAAAAAAAAATTCTTCTTTTTTTTTTCTTTTTTTTTGGTACTCTCAAGCATGCAAATCAACAGAGAACAAATAAGACATGCCTGTCTATTTTGAAAAACACATGGTTCAGCATTGTAAAAAATTATTCGTTTTTTTTTTTTTGGTACTCTCAAGCATGCAAATCAACAGAGAACAAATAAGACATGCTTGTCTATTTTGAAAAACACATGGACAGTGTCACGCAAACAATGTGGAGCCACAAGCACTGTTATTTCGAATAAAATTATTGATAGCTTTCGCTTACTCACTTTAAGACAGTGTGATGCAAACGATGTGGAGCCACAAGCACTGTTATTTGCACTACACAACCTAAAGCCATGATGGAACTCCTTTTGTGCAGAAGGAAATTCTGCAAATGTTTTATAGCATGGGTGATCAAGACTGCTGTTGCCCACGAGGCTAACATGCATTTATTTCTTAAGAGATTTTCTGAATGAGTGAATGTGTGCATAGAGTCCAACAAACTGACTGACTTGTTTGCCAAATAGGGACATCTTAATTGGATATAGTAGTTACAGCCATCAAGTAATAGGCAATTAGCTGGATCAATTTTGTTTTATGTGTCAAATGCAAAGACATAAAACACGTTTTTTTTTTTTCTTATATATATATTTTTTGGATTGGCAACACATGTATATTTTGAGAAAATTAATAAAGGAAAGCTGATACTTCTTGAAAGTTCCTAGGATGTATATTGTGGATTTTTTTTCTTTTTGGATTGGCAAGACACGTGTACATTTTGATACAATTGATAAAGGAAAGCTGATACTTCTTGAAAGTTCCTAGGATGTATAGTGGAGATCCTTGGTGCTAGTTCCTCTTTGATAAGGCTTGAAAGAAGCAGGAATACTACTCAAAGGCACACCAAAGAATAACATCCCTCATAACCAAGACAAGAGGAAAGAGTTTGGGGTTCTCAGACAACAGATTTCTTGAATAAATGGAGTTTTTTGTCGATTGCAGCACCAAGATTATTTGACCAGTAAACTGGCATCCATCGCCTGCTGGCAGAACAAAATTTAAATTTTGATAGTAGTTCCATGAGAACAGCAGGAAGGGCAAGGCTATGTGGAATTACGAGGAATCATGAACGTGCAGGTGGAGAATACATCCTAACATTCAAGGCCGGCCCCTTTGGACAATATGACGCAAATGATGTGGAGTTACAAGCACTGTTGTTTGGACTACACAACCTAAAGCCAGGATGGAACTCCATTTTTGCATGAAGGAAATTCTGCAAATGCTATAGCATGGGTGATCGGGACTGCTGTTGCCCAGGAGGCTAATGTACATTTCTTAAGAGATTTTCTGAATGAGTGAATCTGCACTTCGAATACATTTGCATAGAGTCCAACAAACTGGCTGACATGTTCGTCAAAAGACGGAACATACATAACTGGATCTAGTAGTTACACCATCAAGCAATAGGCAAATTGCTAGATCAATTTGGTTTTGCGTCAAATGCAAAGACAACGCATGTAATTTTTTTTCTTTGTTTTTAAGGATTGGCAACACATGTACATTTTGATACAATTAATAAAGGAAAGCTGATACTTCTTGACATCCTCCCAATCAACTTGGGCCCCAAACCTTTACAGTTTGAAAATATGTTTCACTTGTGGTAGTGGTCTTTCCATGGCAGGGGTAAGTTGTAGACTTCACGGAAAACAAAAAATTCTACTACTCAAGTCATCTCCAAAACAATGGATCCTCATCCTTCTAGGAGAAGTTCAACTCCTCAAAGTGGTCCTTGCTGAATAAAATTATCAAACAAAATCTCCTAGAACGGAGCAACCCTTTCCAACAAGAAAAGAAAAAGAGGCATGAGGCCAAATTGGACTGCCATACCATTCTCAAACGAGAAGAAATTGATTGGTAGCAAAGATCAATTTTTAAATGGTAAAAGGTGGGAGATAGAAACACAGCCTTCATCCATAGAATCACAAACTGCTACCAAAGGGCCAGTTCCATTACCAAAATCACAGCGGATAATTGAGCCTTCAAGGAACCCCAAGAAGTCTGCTCTGCCATCATCTCCTTCTAGAAACTGTTTACGGCCTGCCATAACTTTCTTTGATGTATGACAAACCTTTCCATCCTCTCACTCCTTAGTCATTAGGCCACTTGGCTGGAGCAACCCTTCTCAGAGGGAGAAATTCTTCACCCCATCTCCGACCAAGCCCCTAGACAGGATGGCTTTCCAGTCCGTCTTTGCTGAATTTGGGACACCCTGGAGCCGAATGTTTTAGCCTTCTTAATCAATTCTTCAACAGGCACTGTAGAATGAATGCAACCTTTAATCCTCCATTACCTTAATCCCAGAGATCTAAGGAGCACAAGAGATTAAAGATTACAGCCATCTATGCTTACACAATTTTTCTTACAACATCATGGTGAAGGTCTTGGTCTCTTGCTTGCATGAGGTTCTTAACTTTATTATCTCACCTAATCGGAGCGGCTTTGTAATAAAATAGGCAAACCTTGGTTGGGGCTTTCACAACCCATGAAGCTGATCCATTCCAGGCACCCAGCCAAAGGCCCCCCGCCTAATTCTTGAACTGTTCTAGGAGAAAGCATATGACCATGTTATGACCATGTTGATTGGTCCATTTTGGATGAAGTCCTCACGAAGATGAGCTTTGAAGAGAAATGAAGAAAATGAAATTTCTGGATGTATCCTACACCTGTGTCCATCCTCATCAATGGGTTCCCAAAGCGCTTGTCCACATTTTGAGAGGCCTCAAACAAGATGATCCTTTGTCACCCATTTTTTACATAGTTGCAACTGTTCAACATATCTATTTTCAAACTATTCCAACTAGTGTCTTTCAAGTGATTTCAATTCCTCAAGGAATGGCTCAGAAATTTTCCACGTCCAATATAGAGGCGAATAGAGGCGACACTCATATTTTCTGACGCTTTGAAAAACCAATTCGACTGTCTTTGGATCTTCCTCAAATGCTTCAAAATTGCTGCGAGCATGAAGATCTATATGACCTATTCCAAAATTCTGGGTATTCCTATCGAATAGCACTCCTTTGAGGATTTTGCCACGCACCTGAGTACATGTTGAATATCTCCCATCCAAATATTTGGGACTCCCAATCTGCCTGTGAAGCCCATGCAAAGGACTTTGGGACCCGATTACGAAAAGTTCTAATAAAAGCTAGCTGCCAGGAAGGGTAGAAGATTTTTCATTTGGGGAATGTATCACCCTCAACAAAGCAATGCGCTCAAACATTCACATCTTCTATATGTCCCACTTTCAAATGCCAAGCCAGCATTATTATGAAAAGGGAGAAAAACCTATAGAGGACTTCCTATGGTCCACATACGGGACCAGAAGGAAAATCCATCTTATGCCTACCTAAGAAGACTGACAGAATGGGTATATGCAACATAGCTTTCAAATGCCAGCCAGCATTATTAAGAAAAGGGGGAAAAAACTATACAGGACTTCCTATGATCCACATACGGGACCAGAAGGGAAATCCATCTTATACCTACCTAAGAAGACTGACAGAATGGGTATATGCAACATAAAAAAGGCAAACATTGCCTTGTTGGGCAAGTGGTGATGGCAATTTGTAACACAGCCGGACTATTTATGGCAAACAATAGTACACCATAGGTATGGAAAAACAGAATTCAGGGTGGCTTCCCAAAGGGGCACCTCTAAGCGGTGCATTATGCGACTAAAAAAAGTATCTTCTGTGTGTCAGCAAAAATTCATGGACGGTGTGTGATACAAATTTAACAAGAAGGAAATGGTCCGCTTTTGGATGACTGGATCGACCTTTGGACTGGCTACAAGAGCCTCAAAGATTGATTGCCCAACCTGTTTACTTCAACCCCAGACTCAAACACGATAGTTGCAATTTATGAGACTATGGCAGCAAGGGTCGTCAGGAGCCCCATTCTTAGAAGACCACTCACCAACCCTAAAACATAGAAACTCCTATCCATGTTGCAACTTCTACAGTCATTCTTCTTGAACCTCGTGCACCTTGACTATGGCTTCGCAGAGACAACCTTGATCGAGTGTATAGGATAGATGTTGACTGGCATGGAGCAAGACAAACTCATCTGGTCCTAATCCTAGTCAGGAAAATTCACAATCTCGAATCTCCTCTTGGTACCACACCCTCAACCCCAAAACCCCCCACACCATTAGTACATAGCAAAGTGTGGTCCTCCACTATCCCTTGGAAACTGGAAGCATTCTACCGGCCAGTCATCACTAACCAAACATAGAAGTTGACCAGTTACAAAGAAGCCGAAGAAACTCATGACAATCTTTTCATCGAAAGCCCTGTTGCTGCCTTCTTATGGGAGAACCTCCTATAGTCCTTCCAATGTTCATGGATCACACCGAACTCATTCCAACAGTTATTCTCAGCCTTCCTTTCCGCACCATACCCCGCTGTAGGTGTCTTCCAATGGTGGGTATCTATCCTCACCACTATATGGGTCATTTGGAGAGATAGATACAACAGAACATTTGAAGGGACAGATAGAAGCCTAACTGCATTGGCAGACTACAAAAAAGACACAAATAACTTCTAGGAGAAACACTGCAAAGGCATGCAGTCCTTTTCAAGAGTAGATTGTAAGTCCCATTGGCTCATGATGCATCCGAAGATCCAACTTTTAGAGGATGCCTACACTCAAAGCCATCAAGTTTACTCCTAGACCTAGTGGCTTTGGGGGTATCCTGAGAGACACCGAGGGTAAAACTATCCTTCCTTTCTTAGGTCAAACTGGTGTTGTTAACTCAGCAATGCCGAAATCAATGGTTCCACCGAAAGGATTAATGAGGATCAACCCTTCAAGAGGCAAACACTTAATTATAGAAGTGACTTGCAACTCATGGATGTGTAAGTCTGCCCAATATCGTTGGAGAATGTCAAAAGTTTTTAGCACAATTTTCATCTATCTAGGCCTCTTCGAGGCTCGTGAGAGGGTACTAGGATCGTTCTTGTCCAAACCATCACTAACCGTTTTCGTCCATACCACTACTAACCATTTTTCGTTCAAAGCATTACAACAAGTACCGCTACCCTAATTTTTGTATGATGTACCTACTGACCCATCATTTCTGATTCTTGATAACTCCAGGTAAAGCACCCAGCTTGTGGGCTGCCTCGATACCTACCATCTCTCCTGGATCTTTTATTTTGTTTTTTAAGAAAACTCTTTTGTTAATTAACAGATATATATCAACTCTTTCAGAAAAAATAAAGCCGTAAAAAAAATGCATACTTTCTATTTCCATCCTGTTTAAATTAGATAGATATCATTTTGAAATATTGAAGATTGATTGCCCTCTTACAAATGGGTTTGTACCGAAGGGCTAAAACATACTCAAAATATATTTTTATATTCGTATGTGTTGTGAAGGTATATTCCCCAGGATCTTATTTCGAAAAGAAACTTCCTGGGATTTGAGATGCTATCGATCAGTTAATAATCTATGCATCAAAAAAAAATCAAAAATTAATAATCTAATCAAAACAATTATCAAGAACTAGGTACTTATATAAACAAATAAGGTCATATTGATCTACACAAGAACCAGGTGTTGATTTGAACAGGATGACAATAACTCTAATAGGTATAACGAGAAAATTATTAACATAATGTCGTCATGGTGACCATTGACCAATGCCTGGTCCAATCACATATAACCCAAAAGATGGTACAACTACAGAAGAAATGACCAAGAAAAGATGAAAAGGAGCAAAACAAAGAAAACACCAGTTTTGATCTTCCTGATGTGATATTTAAAATTGGAGGGTATGCTAGTGCAAATCAAACCAGTCAGATAGAACACTCAAATTTAGTCCTTATAATATAGAATGAAACAAACAAAAACCTTTCACAAATGAACTAGAAACAGTGCTTTGGATGTGCAACATTATAGTTCACAAGAAATTGTTACTATGAATGAATCCAATCCCAAGAGAATATAATGTTCTCCCTCTAAACAGGATTTAAGACAAGCACTGCAGTTTAGATGAATGCAAGATTCCATATCTGTGCTTTCAGTATTTAACAAGCCACTCCAGTACCATGATCTAAAATAGTTATTCAGATATCTAAAATACTAGGCAATCTAATATATTATGAGCATGCATAAATCTAAGCCGATTTCACAGTTCACTATTATTTTTTCCTTCCTCAATCAAACAAATAAAACTATGAATTTCATTCAAGACAAGTGATGATCGATATTTCAATGCATTGTACGTATGCAACAAAATTTTCAGTTCGTACATATTGCAATAAATAATGCTATAAACTTTCAAATATCTGCATGTTACAAGACATATATAACACCCCTCAGTTCTTAAGTTTTTAAACACTGACTACATATTAAAACAAATTTTTGATTAATTGTCAACATTTTTCAATGGATTTTTGAATGAATTTCAAATGATTTCATATTCACAAGGAAAACCACTAGGATTCAACTCACAAGAAACTTTCCATCCTGAGTGAATTCTTTTATTGAGCTAGCAAAGATAAATCGAAATGTTCTAAAGGAAAATAGATCAGATTTGAAATAAGAAATAGGGGTAAACAATATAAATAATCACTCTGATATCAATGCAAACTGTACCAGTGCTAGAAAGTCCAACAACTTTGAAGGAAACAATGTTGTAGAAAATAAAATGGAAAAGAAGAAGAAGAAAAACATGGTGTTTCAGACAAGGCTTTAACACATATAATGCGCATTTACCACCACCAAACAATGTTCAAAAAGGCAGAGGCAGCCGCCTAGGTGGCCAGGGGCCTTGAACGCCGCCTAGGCAGCGAGGCGGCCGCCTAGGTGGCCAGGGGCCTTGAACGCTGCCTAGGCAGCAAGGCGGACGCCCAGATACCTGGGTGACCCTAAGGGCAGGGAGTTGGGGTGGGGCCATAGGTTGTTTTGTGTGTGTTTTTTGTGAATGTGTGTGTATGTGTTTAGTGTGTGTACGTGTGTGTGCCCATATGTGTGTGTGGGGGGCCTCGCATGAAATTCTTGAAGATCATCCTTTTTCTTTTCTTCTTTTGGATCCATATTTGTGAGAGAGATCTAGAACACTTGGAGGATGTTCTTCTTTTTCTTCTTTGAATATGTCGATTAAGAGAAAAAGAGAGAGATTATCTGTAAGAGAGAGGGACCTTGTGTCGAACACTTGCAGATCATCTTCTTCTTTTTCTTCTTCTTACGTGTAAAGATGGAGCATATAGGTCCAGGCTATCTTTGTATGTGTATGTGTGTGTGAGAGAGAGAGAGACAGGCCATGTATTGAACACTTGGCGTCTATGTTCCTCTTCTCCTCATATGTAGAAAGCACATAGACCCAAGAAAGAGAGAGAGAAGGGCAATACACATGTCTACTTTTTATTTGTGTGGATTTGAGTTTTTTCTTTTTCTTTTTTTTTTTAAGGGGTGGCACTTGGTGGGCACCCAGACCCGCCTAGGTGCCTGCCTAGACCCCACCACCTAGGCTAGGTGGCTTGTTGGCCAGGCCGCCAAGGCGGCCGAAATTGCGTTCACTACCACCAAATATTGAAAGATTTTGTAGATGTTTTGGCCACTATTCTAGCAACAATTGAATGTTTCGTTGTTTTCTTATCAGTGCATTATCTAAGGAATTTGTAACTATTACAAAAGATTACACGATAATTTCAATGTCAATGTCCAATATTTTCAAAGCTAGAAACTTGTTTTCACTTTTGAAAATTGCAAAGCTAGAAACCACTTTTTAGGGTAACTTAATTAAATATCAAGTGCATTCAACATATAGCAATCAAAACACACACTTCAATTATCCTAAATTCACCGCATGCCCTCAATAAAAAAGATTGGCCTTAAATTTCTAAAAGAGCTTTTTTCTCACTGGAAATAAGCTAAAATAATAAAAAATAGTTGAAATGGGTCTCCAAAACAAATGAACAGAATTTTCAGATGACATCAAGAATTGACCCAAGAATCCAACTTAATGACCTTCCCAGGCAAATGCAAGAACCACAACAGTCAATCAAAAACAAAAGAAGAAGACTATTATGATAACACTAAACAAAGAAATCATTGAAAAAGGAGAAAGGTGCTCACTCTGGACAAGTATCCAACAAGAGCTCCACGGAATCATCCAAAGGGTGCCCCAGTTTCTTCTCTTCCTCCTCCTCCATCTCCTTCAACCAAAGGATCGCATGAACCCTCTGCCTCATTATCCTGTAATCCTTCGCCAGCTTCTCCACAGTGTAAACCTCTGGATTCTGCTTATGCAATCGATACATCTCACTCTTCTCAGAGTCCTTCAAATAAGATCCTCGAGCACCAGGCTCGTGCACCTGTTTCATCAACACTGACATCTCCTTCACACGCTCATCCCAGCTGTCAACAAACGCTCTGCTCTTCCTATTCTCTCTCTCCAACTCTGCAACTGTGTCATCTGCAGCTTCTGGTTCAGACACTTGACTACTACGACGACCAATGGCTTCCCCTTGGAAATGCTCTTCAGTCAAGCCAGTTGACCATGAGGAGATGGAGTCCCAACCTCCTCCTCCTCTTCCTCCAACTCCCCATGCCGCCTCCTTATCTTCAAAAGAGGACCTTGCCTTCAGGTTTTTCTTGCTATCCTCATAGGATGATGCAGCCTCTTCCCAGCTTTTGTCCCATGTGTCCTTTCCACCCCCATTATCAGATTGACTCGAGAAGGCCCTACGATAGAAGAATGGAATAATGGGGAGTAACATAGGGTTTCTGGAAGCAGAAGAAATGCATGATGATGATGACAATGTGAGGGAGCCAGAAATGGAGAAGAGATAACGGACAGCTTTCATGGCCTGCTTGTTTTCTCAGTTTAACTCTTGGAGGGAGATGGAGTGGCGATGGATAATGGTGTTGCAGATGAGGTGTGAGAATGGGGAGAGACAGTAGCTAGGGTTTTTACTCGAGCCTGATCAACAGTTGCAGAGCATGGTAAACAAGGAGACCGAGTTTTTGGGCGTATCCTGAGAGACACCCAGGTTAAAACTATCCTTCCTTTCTTAGGTTAAACTGGTGTTGTTAACTCAACAATGCCGGAGCCAATGGCTCCACCGAAAGGATTAATGAGGATCAGCCCTTCAAGAGGTAAACACCTAATTATAGAAGGGACTCAGAACTCATGGATTTGCAAGTCTGGCCAATATAGTTGGAGAATGTCAAAAAAAATTAACACAATTCTCATCTATCCAGGCCTCTTCGAGTCTCCTCTAGGCAAGCCGGTCACGAAGGCAATTCAGTGGCTGGCTTTTTGGCTAGAGGGTAACTCCAAGCGGATCACTGGTGACAGCTAGCATCGTTCTTGTCCAAACCATCACTAAGGGCCTGTTTGATAACTGGAAGGTTCCCTAGAAATTGGTCAGTTCTTCTTTGTTGGTAAGAAAGAAGTTACTGTAAGAAGTTCTGAGTTTCTGTGTTTGATAACCTGCTGGAATGTTAAACAAGTTCTGGATTTCTGTGTTTGATAACCTGCTGGAATGTGGGTGAGAAAGAATAATTCAGATCACTTTCCCCTAAAAACATAACACACATTATGATATAATTCAGATCACTTTCCCTTAAAAACATAACAAACTTACCATCATATGTGGTATACTATTGATTAAAAAAAACACATACATACCAAACACACACATTGGGCCCATGAATATACAACAACTATGTAATGTCATATCCACAACAACTATATAATGTCATATCCCATTTTATTAATGTAATATACAATTTTATATCCAACAAAAAACGGGTAAAAAAAAACTTCAGTTCTCAAGATGCCAGATACCACAGATTGCCACATGCTTTAACCTTACAATGGCAGAAAAAAGAAGTTTTCATTGATCCACATTTATTCAAATTAGAGCTAAAACAAGAGAACTCGGTAAGCAATTTTTTATTAAAAGATCCACATTTAAAACATTTTGTAATTAAATATTGTTCATTATGTATTTCATCGATAGTCTCTGTCATGAAATCATTTAAATATTAGCAGCGATTGGTATTAATGTGGAAAAACAAGGGGATTGCCACAAGCTACAAGTAAACAATATCAATACAAAGAAAAAGGAAAGCGTGGAGCATTGAAGACTCGAAGGGGTTTTGAAAAACCATATAACCTCATGTATTTGAATGCCTACCAACTTTAAGGACTGCATCCATGAATTTCATCTCATTCAGTATTACATATTATATTTGAAACATTGTAAATGTATGATCCATCTAAAGCACATCCACACCTCAATATACAACCCATTAAGCAAAGTTTGGATGCAATTATCAAGAAGCTAAGATACAAAATTGATTTACATAAGATATCAGAAAAGGACAATGGAGAAAAAGGCAATTAAGGAAGTTAAGAATTTAAGAATTGGAAGCAACGATTTGTTCAAGCCAGGGGATTTAAGAATTTTTAAAATGAGAATCAAAAGAAACTTTGCAATGGAGACAATTAACAAAGTTCAGATTCTTCTAAGACGCTTCAAAGGATTTTCAAAGAAAAAAATGCGAAAAGCAAATTCAAGTATGCCACAAACTTTTGAAGTCCACAATCCCTCAGTCAGTGGGTCACATTTTAACAGGAAAAGTAAATCTTTTGAGGGAGAGAGAGGTGGCAATAGGTAACACAAACAAGTAGCTCAAACACACTCAAAAGAAGATCTACCACAAAACCGGCATGAGTTTCATTTTTTATCAACAAGAAGTGACGCAGAACCAGATGCTAACATTAGAGACTCGGAAGAATCCATGGTATAAACATTCGAGTCCACAAGGTAAGAAATGTATGGTAAATTACTAGTTATCCAAAAGTACGGAAAAGTTATGATCTTCTAGAGAGAGAGAGAGAGAATCTGGTATCAAATGCCAAACATGAATAGCCCAACCATATGCACAAAGTAATAAAATTCCAACCCAAATCAGATATGAAACTCTGATGACAAAAAAAAAAAACAGAATATAGAAAATCAATTCCTTTAAGATAACTCTCAGCAAGTGTCAATATCAAAGTCAGATTTTGATATTACCCACACATCACAGATGAATAATATAGTCATATACATAAATAAAAGAAAAAACAATTTCAATTGTAGAGAAAGGGGCGTATCAGCAATTTATTTGGGGTTTATCAGTGAGTTTTATCAGTGAGTTAACTCACAGATTTGGGGTTTATCAGTGAGTTAACTCACTGATTTGGGGTCTATCAATGAGTTTACTAACTAATTTGGGGTTTATCAACAAAAATAGCAGTATACAAAATTAAATAGCTGAATTAGAGTTTATCGTCATAATAAACAGGAAAAAAGATAACAACTCACTGATTCGTGGCTTCAAGCTCTGTGATAATCGCGATAGAGGCTGCTGTGGGCGTCTTCTCCTTCTTCAACCTCGGTTTTTCACACGCTTCACGGGCTTGAGGGGCTGCTGTGGTTTTTGATCGAAGGAAGCTCGGGTTTTTTTATGCCCCCACTTAAACTGAAGGAAAAAGTTTATATAAGTGCGAGGCTCTAAAAAAAAAATTGATCATTTCAACCTCAACCTGCGTCTGCACGAGAAAAGAATGGATTTCAACTTTTGCGTCCATACGAGAAAAATATGGATGAAAAATAATTGCATCTTATAATGCAATTTTTTAAACGTCAATTTTTTAGATTTTCAAGTTTTCATGCATCTCTTCGCATTTACATTAGGGAAAAGTTTATATATAGAGCCATGGAGCCTATTACAAAAATTTCACAAGAAGAAGTTGTTGTGATGTCCAAATATCCTCAAATTGATCATCTCGACATCAAGATGTATGGATTTGAGAAAAAAAGTAGATTTCAAGTTTTAGAAATAATATATTTTGCAACGTATTTTTAAACCGTCAATTTTCAAGATTTTCAATTTTTTATAGATCTATAAATCTATACTATTTTTTAAACTTTCGACTTTATAAATAAAGGCGAAAATATATTTTAAGGCTGTCATAAATATTTCTAATATTAAAACCACATTTCTTGATACTATTTGAAAGTAGGCTCTAATTTTGATTGTTTAGAGCATAAGCTCTATACAAACCCCACCTTTCACATTACTTTTAAAGCTTTACATTTTATAATGGGTGCGGTTTGTATAGAGCCGAGGCTCTAAACAATCAAACTAAAGCCCACCTTCAAATAGTATAGCGAAATGTGGTTTCAACACTAGAAATCTTTATGACAGCCTTAAAATATATTTTCATACTTAATTATAAAATTTAAATATTTAAAAATAGTACACTCGAATAGATCTATAAAAACTTGAAAATCTTAAAAATTAGCGGTCCAAAAATACATTGTAAGATGTACTATTTTGAAAACTTGAAATTTATTTTTTCTTATGCCCATTGCATCTTGATGTCAAGATGATCAATTTGAGGATATTTAGGCTCAAAACAACATCTTTTAGTGAAAATTTTGAGGGGCTCTAATTTGATTGTTTAAAGCCTCAGCTCTGTATAGAATTTTTCTTTTTATAATTAGAGATGAAAATATATTTTAAGGCTATCACAAAGTTTTTCAGTATTGAAACCACATTTTTCCACACTATTTCAATATGTGTTTATTTTTCCACACTATTTCAATATGTGTTTTACTTTGATTGTTTAGAGCAGCCTCGCAATATATAAATCATACACCTTCACTGAAAGTTGTCGCTCACCTTCCCCTAGCACTGCAAGTTTGTTTAAGTGAATAGTGAAGATGGGAAAGGATAGTATTCCGATTTTCCTTCATCTCGGTGTCATCGAACGGGTGAAATGAACAGCATAGGTGAAAGTATGCCTCTTTCACCCCATTTACATGTTTATGAAATGCTACTTTAATCTTGACCATTGGATGTGAAATTAGGTGGGTGCGAAAATTGAAAGAAAAACCGATGTGATCTTGCCGGGGAAATACAATTTTTTTTTTTTAATAATAATCACCCTTTATAATTTTGGAACAAGATCACTCACAGATGGTCTTATTACAAACAATAGAAATTCTAAAAATAAATAACACATCAATAAAATAAATCTTAACTACTTGATGTCATTCATACAACCTAATACTGTGTTTGAGAATATAAAATAAAAGAACAAACAAATAAAATTAAAGATGCCAGAGATTACCTCAATCGAGCCTTTTATACCCCACACCGAGTCACCACATCCAATGGCACGGGATCAGCGGTCTAAGTTCAATCTCGAACCAAAAAAGCTAATTTCTGCCAAACTAGATAACCACCCTTAAATCTCTACAAAACCCAAACTCCAAAATAATTAGGCTCAAACCCTAAGTTTTTCAACCCTTAGATTAGATCGCGAGAGAGAGGGAGAATCTCTATGTTGGGGCGTGCCCCCTAGGATCTTTTTAGGAGAGAGAGGAACGTGGTCCTTAGGGACGGGAGAGAGAGTTTATGGGAGAGAGAGGTTATGGGAGAGAGAGAGGTGTGTAGAGATGGGGGAGAGCACCCTTATTTATAGTGAAATTTAGGTCTAGAGTTTTTTTAATTTATATAATTTATAAAATCAATAACTTCATATTTATAATTCAAAAAATCATAAATAAAATATTAAAAGATTCATAAAAATTCAAATAATAAATCTAAAATAATTTCTATAATAAAATGAACACAATTAAATTAATATAATGGGAAGTTGATCCATATGGTTCAGGAATTCTATCAACGATCACGGGGTACTCCATCTTCAACTATGGACTACATACCACATTTACTTTATCGAACCGACCCAATATTTCCCATGACCCACAGTCTAAGCAGGGGCTCATTAGCGGGTCATCAAAGTCTGGTCGATGACCCAAAGAGTCACAATCCCAGTTTGTGGATTACAGATCCTCCCCCAGAGACAAGTCAAGGTAACCACGACCTGATGCGACCACAACTCTATGACGCATAGGGGTATCTCTCGCACATGCATACGCTTCACCCAAAGGTGAATATATGGCTTTTCCGAACGATCTATTTATATGCATGCCGTGTGATTAATCATGGATGAGGTTTTGACCCCCGCCTCTGTAGGCCTACCATCACACACACACATTCCCTTGCCTCACTCAACTAGGCATAAGCTCTGACCTCATTAAGGGCTCTCGGTTTATTTTTTATGCCCAGGTACCTTAGGTTTTTCAACCGACTGGCCTAGATCGTCAAGTACAACTCGGTATCAGCAAACATCATTTGTTTAGTATAGTCATCAAGGGAGCACACTTCCACTGAGTTTATGTTCCACTATAATAAATGTTTTTCATTACACCCTCATAAGGCCTTTAAAAGCCACATAAACCCAACATCTCCTACTTGGCCTTTGAAGGCCTTATATTCTCTCTTCATCACTTTCTCTCATCCCCATCTCTCTCACATGTCTTACAAAAACATCAAAGACAACTCCCTTATTCAAAGGGTCTGCAATCATCAGATATGTAGCTGATATCGATCTCTTTCAATCTCACCTCATTTCTCAGGTAATAGAAGTATGGCTTGGTAAGCTTGGAATTCTTATAAAATCGATGCTCCTTAGAGATACAAATAGCCGCCGTGTTGTCGCAAAAAATTCGCACCGCCTCACAACATACTGGATAGAAATTAAGTTGATTAAGAAATTTCTTAATCTACGCAGCCTCCTCGGCTGCTAGACAACATGCCACAGACTTGGATTCCATGATGGACAAAGCCATAATATCTTGTTTCTCTGACTTTTAAGAAACCACACCCCCTCCAAGCATAAACACATACCCAGATGTAGACTTCGCATCATCTGAATCTGCGAGATAGCTTGCATCTGAATATCCCTCTATTGTTATTTCAGTTCCCTCCTTATATGTGAGCGCATAGTTCATGGTCCCCTTTAAATATCTGAAAATTTTTTTTACTGTTTTCTAATGCTCCTCTCTTGGATTGCTTTGGAAACGGCTCACCAGACTCATGACGAATGACAAGTCAGGCCTTGTTCCCGTCATGGTTTACATAAGGGATCCAACTACGCTCCTGTATGACACTCTCTCCTTGACTCTTATATCCATATCCTCGGTATGACACATTTTATTACTAAGCTTCATCTTTTGTCAATTGGGGTTGACATGGGCTTACACATACTCATATCAAACTTTTCCAGTATCCTCTTACAGTAGGTTGCTTGGGAAAGTTGGATAGTCTTCTCTCTCCTGTTTCTTATTATCTTGATGCCCAACACATATGAAGCTTCTCCAAGATCCTTCATATCAAAGTGTTGTGCAAGAAAAATTTTCGTCTCTACTATTAGGGCAATTGAGCTACTCACAATTAGCATATAACGATATAAAGGCCACATCACTCCCATTGACCTCTTGATATATGTAACAATCCTCATTATTTGTAAAGAATCCTGCAAGAGCAAGGGTCTCTTGGAATTTTATGTACCACTGTCGCGATGCTTGTTTCAGGGCATAAAGGGATTTATTAAGTTTGCATAGTAGGTTCTCTTTCTCTTTTTCCTTAAATCCTTCAGGTTGGGTCATGTAAATTTCTTCTTCTAAATACCCATTTAAAATGGTTGTTTTGACATCTATTTGATGAACCTCAAAGTCAAAATGGGCTGCTATAGCTATAAAGATTCGGATGGATGGAAATTTGGCAACAGGGGAAAAATTTTCATCATAATTTATCCCTTCTTTTTTGGTGAAACCCTTTGCAACCAACCTAGCTTTGTATTTTTCTATTTTTCCTTCATAGTTCAACTTTTTCTTGAAAATCCACTTACAACCAATGACCATACATTTTTTAGGTAGCGGTACTAATTTCCATATATGATTTTGGTTGATGGAAGCATATTCATCTTTCATGGCTTCTACCCAGTATTTCATTTTAGGACAGGTCAAAGCTTCACGGTGAGTTCTAGGTTTTGAATTTGGATCTTCCCCAACATTATCAAAATGTTCTCCAAGGTAGACAAAATGTTTTAGGTAAAGAGGTGGTCTGCTGACTCGGTTACTTCGTTTTGGTTCAAGTAAATGTTCACTTTCTTTAGGGAGTTCAGAACAGGTTGGGTTAGTTTAGAAGTTTCAGGTTCAGGGTCTCGAACTACATCATTGTTTTTTGCCTCCTCATAAAAGTTGGCTCGTTTTCTACTCACCCTTGCTTCAAAGAACTCTTCCTCAAAAAGTGAGCATCGCGGCTTTCAATAACTGTACCAGTTTCAAGGTTGTAGAATCGATACCCCTTATCGTGATCTGCGTAACCAATGAAAATGGATTTGACGACTTTGAGTTGTAATTTGGTTATATTTTGATGTGGGATAAGGACATGGGCTGAGCAACCTCAAACTTTCAGGTGTTCAAGGGATGGGGAACGACCTGTGAAAATTTCGTGAGGAGTAAATAGGGCAGCTTTTGTGGGAGTCCAGTTAAAGATGTAACTTGCCATTAATACGGCTTCTCCCTAAAACTTCAATGAGAGATTTGCATGCCCCATCATACTCCTTACCATTTCCACTAAGGTTCTATTCCATCTCTCAGCTACACCATTTTATTCAGGAGTATAAAGCATGGTGTACTGATGGATGATCTCATTTTCAATGCACAA